TATTAAGTGAAAAATTCTTAAGACGCGTTTTGCGCTTTTTTGTGGAGAGTGGATTAGATTGATCCGTCAGATTTCGTTCGGCATTAACGCTCGGGTAAAGTCGGCTAGAGTCGACTAATTAAAATATTTTAACACATGGATTAAAATATCTCAGAAACTATATACTGGGCCTGCATACTGTAAGCGAGGGAATTGTTCAGCATTTCATCCTCTCTGTAATAGGCTATAATTCAAAATTGTATCTTATAATTCAAAATCTTGTTAGAGAGGTGAAAACCAAATGATAAGGTTAGTTGAACATATGAATTAAAATATATCATAAACTAAAAATCATACTTGTATACTGTAAGCGAGGGAAATGAGGTATTATTTATAATTTATAATTCATATTATTAATCTCGCTTTGTTTGTGTTTTACTTATATCGCGTGGTCTACAGCACATGGCTTATTTTTTTTTTAATAGAAGAACTTATTTATTAAAAAATCTGTCTCGATTAATGACATTTTTAATACTGTTCAGTGAGCACATTTACACACTATGTACAATAAACAGAAATAAATTAAAATAATATAACTAAATCTATAAAATATTGAATTAGATTTAATATTATTTCGTTCTGTTTGTATAATTTTTAATTTTTTTTGTATGAAATAAAATATAAATACAGAGATTACCATTCACAAAACCTCCTTGATTGCTTTCAATTGTTTTGTTTGAAGTAGTTTGACTTTATGAGAATAAATTATCAATAAACATAAAAATTGACATTGTTGTAAATAAAATTTAAAAAAAAAACTAATACTTTTGTAAAACAATCATGTTTTACACGATTACTCAGTAATATATGTCAGGAGGATATGAACGACAAACATGTATACATTATTATGATATATAATGAAATAATAATAATATTTAATGTAATATGACTGTGTAAAAATAAATATAAAATACTTTATTTATTTAGTTTTTTTTTAGAGCTAACTCTTGAGTCCGAAAACCCCTGTTCAAAAATCGAAAAGAATTAACTGAAAAAGTACTAACATAAATGGACTAAACAAATACTTCAAAATTTAAAATAATTATGTTAATGTAATAAAATTTAAGTAATTTTATATCTGTTTGACGATAAGTTAGATATATTCAGTTTCTTCATCCATTTAATTATGTCTTGATGCAATAGCGGATCCAGGTTTTAATTTTGGGGAGGGTTTCAGCCCGAAAGTTCTTTGTGTTGATATATATATATATATATATATATATATATATATATATATATATATATATATATATATATATATATATATATAAACACACAACGATAATGAGTTTGAAAACAAAAAAGAAAGATGCCAGCTACCTATATGAAATGGTGTCTAAGTGACCCTTGAAGACTTAAATGTAATTACACGAACAGCAATACTTTAAGAAACGATTCTTTAATGTTTTTTACCATAAAACATGGTTACATTTTACCATTTTGTGGGGAGTTTCAGTCCATTGTAAGTCCATAAAAACAAAATTTCCATTAGGAGACAAAAAAAAAATTATTTCTTTAAGAGAAAAATTAAAAATTTTGCTTATTTTTAACTTTTTGTTTCTTTAGGAAAAAAAGCTTGTTTAAAACGTAACAATGCACATAATATTTACTAACGTAAATGAGAATTATAATTTTGGTGTATCGCACTTGTTTACCTCCGGTATAGAGATATTTATTTCAGATTTATGTGGGATATAAAATAAATTATAATTTCATTTTTAATTTATTAATAGTAAACGAACATAGGTTAGTTAAATTTATTAATAAGCAGGAATATCTTTAAATGTATCTTTCATATGTTCATATAAATCTTTTATATAGTATGAACAAATTTAAATAAATAAAAATTCGAAAAAAAAATTGCTTTAATAGTAATAATTACTATATACCAATGTTTCAGCCCTTATGCCATTTTCAAGGAGATAAACCTATTTTTTAATATAATTAAATTCATATGGACTGAACTGCCCTTGTATTACTTGTTACTAGCTGTATTTTTTTTTCCTTTTATTTATATATTATTTAGATTATTTAATTTGTAAAGTATATGTATATATTTTATAACAAGTGAGAACTAAAATAACATTGCATTGCTCTTTAACAGTGTTGAGTTATATGAATGAAGATATATGAAACGATCTAAAGATTTATTAATTTCCAAAATCTTTTATCTCATTGTGTTTCGTTTTTCTACTAATTGTGTTATTAGATTTTTTTCCGTTTAGCAAACTAATGTCTGTTATTTTTCTCTTAAATATACTGACAAAAGAAAATATATATAAAGGTCTATTCTATTGACTAATAACAATTTTTACCATGCAGTATTGGACTCGGGATTTTTTTTTTTTTTTATGATTTATTATGAGGGCTGAGCATGATTATATATATATATATATATATATATATATATATATATATATATATATATATATATATGTATATATATATATAGATATAGATATATATACCAGCTAATTACCAAAATGAAATGACATTTAATTGATTTTTAAGCATATGAAAATAATAAAACAATAAATGTAATTACAAGAACAATAATAATATTAGAGATATTTTTTTTTGTAAGACATGTTTATATTTAATAGCAGTGCATCTTTTATAATTTTAAAACATGTTGTTGTAGTTTTAGTATTTAGCTTAAACCAATCACAGTAATAAGTATGGACCAAAGAAAAAAAAAAATCATCTTTGAGGGCTTCAGCCTGAAAGCGCTCCCGTATATCATATATAATATATATGATATATGATATAATATCCGCTATATCATCCACCAATGATGTCTCTTAAGAATCAACTTAAATATACTTAAAAAATTAATTTAAAAAATATACTTAAAAAAATCAAATTAAATATCGGCAATCACCTATATTGTAGTTTATAAAAATCTAATAGATAAATTATTGTTGATTATGGCCTGATAAGAAAATTGGTTATGTATGTGAGAAACAATTTGAAATTATAGTTTAGGCCTACAATATTTCTTCTTATTTTGTAAATACCTTTATCAATACGTGCGTTTCTATTTCTCATAGTTTTTAATATAAACAAATTACTTTTTTTTTTTTTTGTATACCTTTTGCAAACTTAATTTTGTTATTTTTTATATTAGCTATACTGATAATAGAATATCATCTTTTAACAGTACGAAAGTAAAAATAAGATAACGAAGATAAAACATCACCTCTGTTATGGACTAGTGTAAAAATCTATTAAATTTGATGATAACTGCATTATAAGAAAATTTAATATTTATTTGAGAAGTAATTTGAAATCATAGTTTAATTTGAAATTACATATCAACATTGTTTCTTTTTATTTTGTAAATTCCATTATGCCCGCATGCATTTATATTTTTCATATTTTTAAATTTTAACATTATAATTAACTATTTTTGTACACTTTATTTATTCATATTGATTGTATATAATTTAAAGAAATGAATTTTTTTAACCTATTTTTTAGCAAAATAAATATTGCAATACAAACTATTAAAAGTTTTCACAACAGAAAATAAATGTTTTAAGTTAAAGTATTTTTTCACTATTGTCTTTTTTGATCAAGAATCGATTTCCTTATCTAATTAATGTATGATAATTACTATTTAAACATGTAAATTACTATTTTTTCTTAGATGTTGTTGCTTAAAAATTTCAAGCTGCCAACTTTATAATTATTTGTTGTGTATTGTTAATTATTTTATTTTATAAACTTGAATTAATATGATGTAATTGAATGATTTTAAACACAAAATTTTGAATTTCTAAAATACAGGTAAACAATTTAACCTTTCAATTGTGTATGATGTAACCCTTTTTGATTTTTAATATTTATATTTGTTATTATTTGATGATAGTGAGTTTCAAACAATATTATAACTCATTGGTGATACCATTTTATCATTAACCAGAATAACATTTTAATCAACATCAAACCTCTGTTATGAACTGCTCTGAAACTCTAATTTAATAAATTGTTGATAAGTGCATAATGAGAAAATTTAATATTTATTTGAGAAATAATTTGAAATTATAGTTTAGTTTGAAATAACATATCTACAATGTTTCTTCTTATTTTTTAAATACCATTTTTCCCGCATGAATTTATATTTTTAAATTTTAACATCATAATTTACTTTTTTTGTACACTTGTATATGCTTAAATATATAGTATATATTTATTTATACTATTTGTTAGCAAAATAAATATAATTATATTTCAATATAAACAACGGAACATATACGTTATATACAAAAGTATTTTTTTACTATTCACTTTTTTAATCAAGAATCTATTTCCTTATTCAATCAATATATAATGATTTGTATTAAAAACATGTAAATTATTATAAAATGTTTTAGTGTTCTTAAAAATTTTTAGCTTTCAATTTTATAATTATTTTATTTCACCAATTTGAATAAATATGATGTTATTGAATGATTTTAAACACAAAGTTTAGATTTTATAAAACACAGATAAACAATTTAACCTTTCAATTAGATATCAGGTTATTTTTTTTTATTTTTTGCTATTTTATAAATATTTATTTGGTAATAATAGATTTCACACCATAAGCCAGAATATCATATTGTAACTATCACCTTCACTTTGCTTACCTAGTAATATCTGTTTGTAATCAGAAATAAAATTCAAATAGTTCTGTGTATATAAATAAGTTGATATAGATAATATTTATCAATAACCTAAACCACTTTTTACTATATTTTAAAACGTAAAGTATCTCTATAAAAACATAATTGAAGTTTGGTAGAAATTTCTATGCTTTTAAAAAGCTTTAAAATTTTTATATTTTTTTAATACTAACCACTGTCATTATAAATACCAATACTATGAAGAAAATTAGGTTATTTGATACTTTTGAATGTATACTTATATGTTTTGGGATAGGGTAACCAGAATAATAAAAAAAATCATGTTTCTTTATAAAAATGTGCTCTGCATTTATTTGAGCGAAATATTCTATACAAGATATGTACAAAAGATAAATAATATTATTAATATCGTACGTTAAATATACATATATATATTTATTTGTATAACACGATCGTTTGTTTTTTTACATAAATACCCTGTCGATAGGATCATCTTATAAATACAACTTTATACAATGTACGTATTTACACTTTTTTTAATAACAATTTATATTGTACAGATAATAAACCGCTAATGGTAACTTTAAAATAAAAAGTATTTTTAATAGACGAACGGTTTCGAGATCCCAAGGTGACACTATAGACTACTCACACTAGCTTGCGGTGGGCAGGCGAGCGATAACTGTGACCGGTTTGAAGATAGGCCTTGGTTCCGGGCTCGGAAGCTGCGGACGATAAAGGTCGTAGCTGGGAGGTATGTACATAGGCGGCCTCGTATCTGCAAGAAGTCGCTCCATGCTGAACCCGTGGACTGGAGGTTTCGCGACCACGGGTTGAGGGTACGCTGGGTATCTGTAATAATACAGCGGGTTCACCCATGTAGGCGGGTACAGTCCTCCCAACACCATACTCCTCTTGAAGGCTGCAAGGCGACTCCTCGACGCCGCGGTGCTTCGCCTCCTCAGCTTTCCGGTGGTGCCGCCGATGAAGACATCCTCAGAGCTGGGGTCAAGCATCCAGTAGTTGCCTTTTCCGGGGTCGTCGTAATGCCTGGGGACTTTAACGAAGCACTTGTTCAAACTCAGATTATGCCTGATGGAATTCTGCCAACCTTGCTTGTTATCCCGATAATAGGGGAAGTTTTTCATGATGTATTCGTAAATTCCGTTCAGTGTCAATCTCTTTTCAGGACTCTGACGAATCGCCATCATAATTAAAGCGTTATAGCTGTAGGGTGGTTTTTCATTTTTCTTCTTCTCTTCTGACTTGGAATCTTCCCTTTTGGTGGAGCAGTCCAGCGGTGGCGGTGTCGCACCTCCCGTGACATCCAGGTCTGAATCCGTATCTGAGTATACCTGTTCGGGGCTACTCTCTAATGGTATGATACTCCTGATGCTGAAGTCCGACTTGAGAGGAGGACGCGCCGGAGGCTCGGCACCCGTCTCCATCTTAACCATAGTATCTTCTCTCGTACACAACATTGAACTTCACTAACACTTCAGTGACCGAAGTAACTCAACTGACTGAGGAACCGGGAGGGGAGGGCTGGTATATATACCCTGTGGGCGTGCACCGGACGACCAATGAGAGAAGAGCCCCGCCCAATGTGACTGGAGTGGGGGCAAACAAAGCCCCCCACTGCAGTGAAAACACTGGCTAGCCGCGACCCCCACCAAGCCACCAGCTGCCGATGTTTACCACCAGAACGCTGGGCTCACCGACAACAAGAAAAAATAACTGGAAATAGATTGAAATTATAGTCCCAACACCTTTCCGCGCTCTTGTTATCTCCTAGTACAATGATTATTTATCGTTCGCCATTCAGAGGAGAGTTCGTATACCATTTCAAGTAATTGATACTTTACAATTATGAACCACATTCGAAATCCGTGACTCGATAACGCTTCGGGAGTGATTAGATCAACTGTAGCTCAGTTTTAAATATTCGCAACCCGTGAATGTTTGCTCTAAAAACGTTTTCAGAAAACGCTAATTATGATTTTCTAGGTCGAAGAAGAATTAAAGAATGTTTTTTTGTAAATACGCAAAAAAATCGTAAGAATGTGTGATTTATTTTATTATTATGTAAATACCTACATACATTGGAAAATAAAATTTAAATTAAAAAAAAATAGTTTTTCGAAATTAATATTTATAATTTAACGTTATTTTTTTCTAAAATCCTTAGCTTTCCAACGAGATATTATACGTATATATTCTGATAATTATTACCAAAAAATTATTTTTAACCTGAAAAACATATTTCTTTTTTTTTTTCTCCTTTGGTCAAATATAAAATTCTTTCATAGTTCATATTATTATTACTGGCAATGAGAGACAGTTAATTATTTAAAATAAACAAAATTAAAAATACTTTAGAGAAAGAAATTTCGAACATTAAGTGTTAATTTTAACGATCATTAATTGTACGTCGATATACCCTGTTTAATCGAAATCGAGCCATTTTCGAGGAAATCGTAAAATAAATATAATCTCAGTGAATTCCAAGCTTGTTTTAATACGCACCAATTCTTTTGTAAGTTTTGTATTATTTTATTTTTATCAAATTAGACAAGTTTTTGTTCTTCTTACTTATTCTCTTTTTTTATAAAAATGAAACTTTTTTTTATTTGCCTTAACAATTATCTAATTATTATTACAATTTTAATTTTTACAATATTTTTTCAGTAAGATGAAGAGTTGTACATGTTTTAACCCGCTTTGTGAATAATTTTAATGAGTGAGTATTTCCATTGGAATTTGAGTTTTCAAGTCCTAAATAAACAGTTGTGATTTGTCAGAAATACAAGATCTTTTTTAACATATGTTAAAGTGCTTTGGTTCACTTTGTTTAAGTCACTACTACGAGCTTTTATATTTAGTAAATGTAAATATTTTACTTTGTGTCCAACTTGAAATGGAGTAAATTAAGATATGATCTGTAATGTGTTAAATATTGGTGAAAATAAATGTTAACAAATAAAAATATTTTAGCTACTTTTTTTGGATAAAATCATTTTTTTATTAAAAAAATAAAATAAATATTATTTTCTTATATTAATTTAAATAAGATGTTCCATACTCTTTGTTTTTGGATTTTTTTTTTTTTTATTCTCTTAATGTCTAATTATTTATTATTTTCATATAGTTTCGAGAATAATTAATTAAAATATAATTAATAATTATATTTAAAAATATAAATAGACACAATTATTAAATTTGGTTTCAGTTGCTTTTTTTGTTGTAAACATCTTCGTTTGATATTTTTCATAATACCAATTCATTAGACAAAGAATTTATATTAAAAGTGTTCATTTTGTGTTTTATTTCTTTATGAACTTTCAAGCAATGTATCAATAAATATACACATTTACAGAAACAATTGCATATTTATGGAATTATCATTGCATATCTAAAACTTTTCTTCTTTTTTTTTTATTTAAATAAAATTTATTCCATACGTCATAATATTTTAAAACATAACATATCAGTCTCATAAACAAAAAAAAAATACATTTAATATTTGTAATAATAAATACGAATCTGAACTTTAGTATTTTTGTGGTAGATAAAATGAAAAAAAATACTTTTTCATTTTTAAATATAAAGTCATGTTTGAAATGAAACCGTGGAGTTGATTTTGAATATTATAAATTAAAAAATCAGTTTTAGATTCCCTTTTCTATGGCTAAAATAATTACAAAATAAATGCATTTACATTTAGAAGACTATTTTTTTTATTCTAGTGGAAACGAAAATGGGAATTTTATTAAATCGTCAACAACAAATAAGTACGATTATTTATTTATAAAATCGTTAGATAATGTTTTAATAGTGATCACTATGAATGAATGAAAACGTGTTTATTATACTTTAAAAATATATATATATATACACGCAACACATATATATATAGACATAGACACTAGCAGATCCAGGATTTAATTTTGGGGGGGGCTTCAGCCCGAAAGATTTTTTTTTATAGTTCTTCATAAAAATAATTTGAAAGAAAAAAGGAATAAATTAACTACCTATACGAAATAGTGTTTAAGTGGTTCCTGAAGTCCTATTAAATGAACAAGAATACTTTAAGAGATAGTTTTTAATACTTTTTTTGTGTAAAATATAGTTATATTTTACCATTTAGGGGAGGGAATGTACATCTGCACATAGACAATGGAAAATTCCGTCTGTCGAGGTCAGTGTGTAATTAATAATAAAAATTCGTTACATTTATAACTAAAATAAATGAGTAATAATATATATATAGTATTATTATATATTAATACATCCATTCTAGTTATTATTGTTGTTATTATTATTTTTGAAATTAAATTTCTTATATATTGGATTTGTGAGATATTAATTTTTTAAAACTCTATTTAAACAAATGAAACAGTGAAGAAAGAAATAGAGATCACTAATTACAAACAAAACCACTTCTAACTAATTTTTCCTTTAATTTTTTGATCGATTCCTTCAACTAAATTTCCTCCAATCAAGAGATATATTTCCTATAGAAAAAAAAATTATCTTATGTAGAACCCTTCCCCTATTCGAAACTTGTCAAAATATAAACGTCAAAAAGCCAACAAAAAGCGGGACAAGATATGATTTCCAACCCCCCGAAGTTACGTTAACTAACACGTCAAAGAATACAGACCAGTTTGAGGAGTTACCAGTTCCCACACAACCAACCCCTATTCTATTCTATCTTTTTTAATGGAAATTTTGTTTACGAATAACAGACACAGCTTCTGTTTTTGTATATCATAACATGTCCATTTTTATAAAGTCAAACGAATTCCAAGTTCACAGAAACAAAAAAAAAAAAAATGTAATATATTGTATAAATAAATTTATTTTTATACATACAATAGTTTCAGTTCTTAATGAACGAACTCTGAGATTGATTCTTGATAAAATTTTCAACAAAAAAGTTAATTCGATGAATGGGCACATGGCGAACGAAAAATGAGTTAAGACCAATTATGTGTTTTTCTTAAGATAGTCACGTTTTTATTGAATAAACAGATTTATTCGAAAACTGTTCAAGATAATTAAATTCTAAGTATACCATCGTAAAGTAGAAAACATTTTTAATAAAACAGTGATTAAATTTATTAAGGTCAATGATAAAAAGTCCTAATACGGACGCTGTACTGTTTCTGTTACAATGCTCATACACGAGGAGCATATCTTTGTGCAGATTAGATATTATTAGACATCCTGAAAGTCCCTTTTGTCATTGACTTTGGTAAACTTAATCACTGTTTTCTTAAAGAAAATTATTTCTACTTTACGATGGTGTACTTAGAATTTAATTATCTTGAACAGTTTTTGAGCTATCTCTGCTTATTCAATAAAAACCCTGACTAACTTAAGAAAGACACAAAATTGGTCTTAACTAATTTTTTGTTCGGAATTGGCTAGTTCATCAAATAAACTTTTTTGTTGTGAATTTTTTCTAAATAACTCCCTAGAGGTTGGCTATTAAGAAATAATACATCCAGTATAGTATTGTTCGTTTTATAATAATTATTTTCATTGTGTTAATTATGATTCATATTTTTTTTTTAAATGTCCATTATCGCCTCTCTCCCCTCCCCTCTCAACCATAACGGAAATACTGTGCTGATATGTGCTATTATGTTTATATTACTATTATTCAATAACGGATCCAGGGTTTAATTTTGGGGTGGCTTCAATCCGAAAGATTTTTTTTTACGTATGTATGTATTAGACTAATTACTTCGGAAGAAATAAGCAATGCTAGTTAGTTAAAGGAAATGGTGTTTAAGTAATTCTTTAAGTCCTATTAAATGTAATCAGACGAGCAATAATACAATAGCAATAATTTAGAGATTATTGTTTTTTTTTTTAAACAGGGTTGTATTTTACATTTTTGGGAGAGGGGGGGGCTTCAGCCTGAAAATCAACCCTCCCTCTCCGCTCTTTAGTGCTATTATTATTATTCCTGTGCTATTATTTTATGTGTTCTAGCTATCTAATATTTTTATGTAATTTGTAATTTTGAATCTTATATCCTTGGGTTGAAACATTCAGTAACTAAAATTTTAAAAAATGTCTAAAAAGTCTGACTGAAAGATTTATTCCTTAAAAATTATTTTATTTGAAACTTCGGATTATAAATTTTTTTTAAAGGTACATTTATTAAAAATCTCATTTAATTTAATATTGATAAAAAGGGCACTCAAAACAATAAAAAAAAAACTGCTCTAAATAATTAAAACATCTTTGAAACTTTAAGGTTAATAATTTTACAGCCTAAGATATATGACTCACTTAACCCTAACGGTTTCAGATACTATTTTTGGCATTTATACCCGCCCAGGTAAGAACTTGTCAAAACTAGTGTGGTCCAAACACGAGACTAAGGCAAGTCTTGGTCTTCTGCCTTCAGTCTTAGTTTTGCACAAAATTCTCGCAACTGTCTTGCAATTATATATATAAGCTTATTGCTATAGAGATATTACTGTAATTTTTCAGATAGG